ATGGACCCTTTTGTCTTCTCTTCCACCCTCCCCCTCTCCGTATTCCATTCCTCCCTCGTTTCCATCATCAACTCTTTTTTTTTACAGCTTTCGTCTTCCTCTTTTTTAAATTTATTTATTTTTATTTTATGTACATTAGTGTTTTTCCTACATGCATGTCTGTACGAGGGCATCAGATCCCCTGGAACAGGGGTTGCAGACAGCTGTAAGATGCCATGTGGGTGCTGGGAATTGAACTCAGGTCCTGTGGAAGAGTGGCCAATACTCTTAACTGTTGAGCCAACTCTCTAGTCCTCTTGTCTCCCTCTTGATAGGACTCTTATAATTACATTTGGGCTTATTCAGATAAACCAAAATAAGCTCTGTGTCTCCATATCCTTAACTGAATCACATTTACAAATTTCATTTTCAGTATTTACACATCCTGCCTATTAGAATGCTGCCATCTTTTGGATGGCTATCATTCTGCCTTCCAAGGAGAAGCCTGATGCTACCTCTTCAATGCAAAGGAAGTAAAGGAGAGACTTCTGTGTTATCTAAGCATCCAAGTGTGATGGTCAGGTGTGAGGGGAGGCTAAGCATGCTTTCTCTGCCAGGAACAAGATGACTGTTTTCTGGTTTGGGGTTGTTTTTCTTACCGGCACTGGGAATTGGACCTAGGACCCCGTGAATGTTAGTTAAGCAGTCTTTCACTGAGCTGTATCCCCTAAAACAGTGGTTCTCAACATGTGGATCACGGGCCCTTAGGGGGTCACGTATCAAATATTCTGCACATTAAACATTTACATTATGATTCATAACAGTAGCAAATTTACAGTTATGAAGTAGCAATGAAAGTAATCTTATGGTTCAGGGAGTTACCACATTAGGAAGCATTAGGAAGGTCACAGCATTAGGAAGATTGAGAACCCCTGCCTTAGAGACCCCACCACCACTTTCTTCCTCTCAGACAGGACCTTATTAAGTCACACAAACTGGCCTTGAACTCAAGACTCTTGAAGCAGGTCTTCTCGATGGTCTGTCTTTTCAACTTTTTCCTTTTCTATTTTTAATTCAGGAAACAAAAAAAGAAAGAGAGGAGAGAGAGAGAGAGAGAGAGAGAGAGAGAGCAAGAGAGAATATCAGATAAGCCTGGAGTTCCACAGAGCTCCAGAGTCCAGCAACCCCTCAAAATAGGCTACGATGAACAAGAACTAGAGTTTTCCAGTACCTTTTCTAGTTAGACCAAAGCTACAAAGTTCCCCTTGCTGGAGCCCCTGCCACAGAAAGCCCTGGGCTGACCCAGGATGAATACTCGCTGAATCCCGTAGGAGCTCTGTTCCCAACACATTGCTTGTGCTCACCTTTTTCGTTTGGTTTTTAATTTGGGAGCTAGTTAGTGTTGAGGGAGGTAGTTAAGACAAAAATCTGTCTAGTTCAGGCTGACCTGGAACTCAGTAAGCAGCCAAAGCTAGACTCAGACTCATGTCAGCCAGCCTCAGCCTTCTGAGTGCTGGGATGACAAGCTTGCAGCACGAGGTCTAGCTTTCTCTCGGCTCAGTTGCATGCTAGTATACCTGGCCATGGTAGACCCTGTGTAGAGAGGTGGGGGGGGGTAGAAACTGTTACATTTCGGGCTATAGCGCAACTGGTCACATCTACATGTGGGTTTCCTGAAGTCACTAGCTTCCAGGTGGACAAAATTCAGGGTCTAGTTGCACAGAGACAGAGAGAACAGTCATTGGCAGCAGGAAGGGATGCTGGATGGCAGATGGGCTGCACCAGGCCTCCTCTGCATGAAGGCCTTGGCCAACACCCAGCCAGTACTGCCTTCACTCTCTGACCTTTCCTCTCTGGTTGAGGCTCAAGTTTCAGCTGCTGTGAGGGAAGCTGTTGGCTGTACCAGGAGACTCAAAGTCCCTCTCTTCTCTCAGTCACGTGCTGTGAAGGGTAGGCCTTGGATCGGCAGCATTGTTCTGAGAGATTAGGGGGCACAGGCAGTCCGCCCAACCCTGTTTCTCAGCAGTTGTCTTACTTCTCAACGGTTAAACATTAGTCAGGGTCTGAGTTCTCGTGAAGGCTGGCGGTAACAGAAGACATTAACAAGACTACAAGATAAAACACCTGCCCTTCAGTCACCTCAGCCTCCCTGAGTCTTGTAAAGAGGATTTTATGTTTTCTGTCCCAGCACGTAGGGAACGATTCCCCCTCTTAGCATGAGGCACTCCTATGGGTTTGTCCTGCTCTTCCTTTCCTCAAGTACTTTCCTGTCATCTCCCCATCTGCCTTTGCCGCCCCTTGGTGGAAGATAGTTTTGTTCTGGAAAGGTTGAGGGGTCAAGGTGCAAGCCCTTACTTTGTAAATCCTTACCCATCCCTTAGCTACATGCATTTTCTCTTCTAGTCTTCTTTGTAAAAAGGCCAGTCTCCTACACGCCTTAGTCACGGCTGCTGTTGCTGCCTGGATTGCTGGGTATGGGACACCTGGCCTTGTACCCAACGTTTCTCAGGGCCCTGGGGAGAAGACGAGGTCACGGTCAAGTTGTTGAGAGTGATTCGGGTTGGATGGTCACCAGGCACATGATCCTGAAATCCTTACTGAATTGAGTAAGATAACCAAACGTGTATTTATCAAGCTCTCTGTCCATCTGGAACATTCGAGTATTTACAAAATGTTCTCCCTGTTCAGGCTCTGAAAATCCTTCTTCCAGGAACATGTTTTGATTCTTCAGCTACGGTAGCAACCTGACTAACAGCTCTTGCGTGAGGAATCAAGAGTTTCTACTCTCAAAAGTCAATCTTTCCCTTACTCTTTCAACTCTATGAAAACAACTAGGGATTGTCTCCCTGATTAATGGAATGCTAAGGGAATAGGAGAGAATGGTATGTGCTGTGAAATTCAGAGAGAGATTGGAGAACGAATGGATCATGGCACTTTTTTCCTTTATTAAATATTTGTTGTGCATCTGCTATGTGTAAGCATTGATAATATGCTTGGGAGTTAAAGATGTAAAAAATATAAAAAACAATATATATATAATAGGTATTTTTATATTTATATATATATTTTAAAGACAGAATTTTAACTGCAGTCCTGGCTAACCCAGTACTTGATATGTACTCTAGTGTAGCCTTGAACTCAGAGCAGTCCCCCTGCCTCAGATAACTTTAATATGAATAGGTACCACAATGAGATATAAGCAAAATGGTGTAAGAATGCTCCCTCCAGGAAGGACAAACCTTGCACCTTGTCTGTAAGATGTGGTTGCTATAGCTTACCCTGCGGGGCGTGTTTTCGGGAATCAATAAAATGACAAAGTACTGGAACAGGTAGATCGGGGAAGGTGGGAGGAGTTCTCGGGTTCCAAACAATCAGGGAAGAAGATCACAGATAGCTAGTACTGCAGGACTTTCCTGCATTGTTGACCTAGCACAGTTAGAACGCACTTGTGGACAAGGTGTCGCTGTGACTCAGCATTCAAGTGAGCCATGAAAGGCAGGAGTGACCTCTTGCTTTCACAGTGCTGTGGGCAACTTCTGAGCACTAGAGACTACCCTGACCACTATTTCAGGAAAAGGAGAGCCAGGAAAATTCTTTTCCCCTTTGTTCTCAACAAATTGTTTGCAACAATCTGGAAATTAAGAATCATGCTTTTGCCAGGCGTGGTTGTGTGCACCTTTAATCCCAGCACCCGGGAGGCAGAGGCAAGCGGATCTCTGTGAGGTCGAGGCCAGCCTGGTGTACGGAACGAGTTCCAGGACAGCCAGGACTGTTTCACAGAGAAACCCTATCTTGGGAAAAATTAGATAGATAGATAGATAGATAGATAGATAGATAGATAGAAACATTTTCATCCCAGTCCAGGGAAACCGCCTGTTCAACAGTTTATCTCTATTTTTTTCTGATTTTTAGGCAGAAAGATGCCAAATGTCTAGAGTTTACTTTTCTCTTTTGTTAAAATTATATTCTTCTGTATATATAAAAAATTATATGCCACCATGTGCAGACCTTTGCAAGTTTGGGGGTCTTGGAGGGATCAGCTGATAAGAATTTAGTTGGCCCAGGCTAGCCAAAACTCTTTATGTAACCCAGACTGGCCTTGAACTCTCAACAGTGCTTCTGTGTCCTCACCCAGGCCAGACTACAGGCCTGGCCTCCATACCACGTTTCTTTGTAGGTAGCTTTAGATATATAATCACACCAAACTGGCAGAACCTGAGTAGCCATCAGAATGGAAAAAAAACAACCTTGTAGATAAGAAATAAATAGTACCTAACAGTGAAAACAAACTGTTAATATATAACAAAATGAGTAGATCTCAGTGTAAGAAGTTAGATCCAAAAGCCTATGTATTCTAGAATTCCCTTTGTGTGACATTTTGGAGCAAAACTCAAGATTAGTGGTCACCCGTGGTGGGGGAAGAGGACAAGTGATCCACAGGAGCAGGCCACAGGCACACTGTGGATATGCTGGGATATCGAGTGTGATCATGGTTAACAATTCATTTATCAAATCTCATCAAAATGTACTCTTTAAGAAGGTAGATTTTGAGGTGGATGTGGTGGCACAAACCTGTACCTCAGACACTTCAAGAGGAGGCTAAGGCAGGAGGGCACAAATTTTTTGTTGCTGCTTGTTGCTGTAAGGTGAATTTTAACGACCTAAGTAACAAAAGCCCTTAACCTTCTGTTGCTCCAAAACCTGACTCAGTAAGACAATATCCAAGATTATACTAGTGGCTCAGCGTTCCCCACGAACAGATAATAACTGGAATCCGAAGTCCATTCTGTACCCTGATTGTGAACAAGTCTCCTGAGTCAGTGCCCACACGTCCCTGCCTATCCGGCTCCTAGCCCTAGACCGGGAATGAATGCTCTGACCAAGCTCTAATTTGGGGCATGTAATCCCCATTGTAACCTATTAACCCAGCCAAAGTTTCTGGTCACTGGGGCTGTGGGTGTGAGGTCGGGAGGCAGTATGTCCTGCAGACTCTGAGGGCGTATCTGGTGCTGTCATTTCAGTGCTGCTGACTTGGGTCAACTGTTCCAGTGTCCGCTGGGCCACCCGGGTTCAAGACATCTTCACTGCTGGGAAGCTCCTGGCCCTGGCCCTGATCATTATCATGGGCGTTGTGCAGATATGCAAAGGTAATGTCGTGGGGACCACAGGGCTCCACACAACTCCTCACTCACCCTTCGCCTGGATGCATCCCGAGGTTTCCTGGCTGTGACTTAGACTGACTTCAGTTGTCCCTTTGCTTGACAAAGGAGATGAGAAATTGTTTTCTTCAGGGTTAGGGACGCCCCACCTCCACTCCCATATGCCATCTTGCAAAGATCCATCCCTCCACACTTTCCTCACGACAGCTAAGCAAGGGTCCCAGATCGCTGAACTCAGTTGCCCTTTTGGCACAACCCCAGGGAAGATGTTTTTTTACATTTTCTGTTATGCTTTCTTAATATCTTAAAATGAAGACCAGAAGAGGAGAATCTTATGCATTTCAATATTACTCATAATCTCCGGGGGAAAGAGCTCTGCATTCTTGAGGCCTCTGCCAACATTTCCCATTGGATTTGATCTGTATTTGGTTTCCATGGGACCCGCAGCACTGCTGGGCTCTGCGCTGTGGCGTCATTGCCTCTTGGAGAAAGTGAGATGACAAACGGGAGCATCTCCTGCCTGCCCCCCAGCTCTGAAGGCAGAGAGGAGGCCCTGCAGACAGTGTCTGTGCTAGATGCCCCCCTGACCATGTTCATCAGCGGCATTAGGCCCTTTGCGGGAGGCTATACGGTTTCCAGGAATCTAGGCTTAGGAAACATTGTCCTGTCTTTTCAAAGATGACGAATTCTTCCTAACCCGATCTCAGTTCTTTCTCCTGCTCACACAAAGCTCCTCATTTCCTGTCCTAATGCTGAGCTGCAGATGTCTAAATAACACAGCCAATTACTCTGTTTTATCCCAGCCCTTTTTAGTCAGCAGCTATGGGTATCTGTGGTATGGTATGTGTGTGTGTGTGTGTGTGTGTGTGTATGTGTGTGCACATGTGTGTGCATGTGTTGTGCATGTGTGTGTGCGTGCGTGCATGTGTGTGTGTGCATATGTGTATGCATATGTGTATACTCAAACCCAGGGGAATCAAACCAGGGCCCTGTGCAGGTCCAGCCAGTGCTCTGAATTGCTAAGCCATCTCTCCAGCCCAATGCCAGTTCTTTGAGGGTCCACAGTATTCAGAAACTGTGGTATATTCTGGGAAGGCAGTTTAAAGGCTCTTTACTGGCCGGGCGGTGGTGGCGCACGCCTTTAATCCCAGCACTCAGGAGCCAGAGGCAGGCGGATCTCTGGGAGTTCCAGGCCAGCCTGGTCTACAAGAGCTAGTTCCGGGACAGGCTCCAAAGCTACAGAGAAACCCTGTCTCAAAAAAAAAAAATAAATAAAAAAAAAAAAAGCTCTTTACTGAAGGACCCGGAAGATCAGATATCCCCTAGGAAGTGATGGGCTATTCGCAAAGCAAGCAAAACATGCCTGGACTGACAGGGTGCTGGAGTTCTGTGTGAGCTTGCATTTGACTGACAGTTGTTCCTTATGCTTTCTTCATAAAAACGCAAATCTTATGTCAAGGAAAGTCATCAGAAGACTGCCGTTGATGCTAACCTCCCCATTTAGATGAACCTTCCTTCCAATAAAATTGCCTTTTAAAAAAGGACAGTCTGCCAGGCATGGTGGCCCATACCATCCCAACACTAGGGAGGCAGAGGCAGGAGGATATCTTTGAGTACAAGGTCAACCTGGTCTACAAAGCAAGTTCCAGGACAGTCAGCACAGTTACAGAGAAACCCTGTCTCAAAAAAAAATGAAATAAAAACAATAAAGGATATTATGAGATGTGCTTTGAACCTGAACCCTTGTTTGGACGCATGGTTCTGAGGTGCCGGGGCCTGAGAAGCTCTGGACCTGGATCTCCCCACTACTCCTAGCTCTCCTTCTCTCACACAGTGGGCTCACTAAGGAGCAGACAAGAAGCTGGCATATCCCCACAGGGGAGGGCAAACCAATGCATGAGGAGGCCAGGGGCTGCTGAGTCTGGGCTCGTCTCTCTGAGTAGCCTCCTGCCTGTTGTATCCACAGGAGAATTCTTTTGGTTGGAGCCAAAGAATGCATTTGAGAATTTTCAAGAACCTGACATCGGCCTCATCGCTCTGGCTTTCCTCCAGGGCTCCTTTGCCTATGGAGGCTGGAATTTTCTTAATTACGTGACTGAGGAACTTGTGGATCCTTACAAGTGAGTCAAAGCATCCGTCCAGGTCTTCTGGTGACCCTTAGGCCACACAGTGCCCTACGCTGGGAAAGGGAACACAAATCCATGTCTTGCCCCGTCATGGCTGTGTCCTGCTCTTTCAGGAAGCAACAGTTTATTTCCCAGGAATTTGAACCACTTGCTCTCCACTTTGCTAAGAAAAGAGAAAGGGACCTATGACTGTCCCAGGGCAAGTAGAGAATCAGAAAGCTGGGTGAGGCGGTGGTGGCGCACACCCAGCACGTAGGAGGCAGAAGCACGCGGATCTCAGTGAGTTCAAGGCCAGCCTGGTCTACAGAGTGAGTTCCAAGACAGCTGGGACTACACAAAGAAACCCTGTCTTGAAAAACCAAAAAAGGCCGGGCGGTGGTGGCGCACGCCTTTAATCCCAGCACTCGGGAGGCAGAGGCAGGCGGATCTCTGTGAGTTCGAGACCAGCCTGGTCTACAAGAGCTAGTTCCAGGACAGGCTCCAAAACCACAGAGAAACCCTGTCTCGAAAAACTTAAAAAAACAAAAAAAAATATTAAAAAAAATATGAAAAACCAAAAAAGAAGAAGAAAGTCAGAAAGCTATACAGTGTGAGGAAGGAGCTGTCCCGAGAAGTCTTGGCATTGTATCTGTTCAGAGCCAGACCCAGCCTTGTGTTTTAAGACAGCAGAAAGGGTGCATGGTCCAGATCTGAGTGATAAGAAGTGATAAGTAGCTAGCCTAAGCTGTTCCATTTCCTCCAAATTATCCTGCCCCCACCTGAGTCAAAGCCTGTCTGCCAGAGAGAGGAAAGGCAAGAAGCTGCAAGTCTAGACTCCTGTGGTCCCCTAGCAGAACACACTCTAGTCCGGGCTTCCCTCTCATCTCCTCTCCCTCTACAGGAACCTTCCCAGAGCCATCTTCATCTCCATCCCACTGGTCACATTTGTATATGTCTTTGCCAATGTCGCGTATGTCACAGCAATGTCCCCCCAGGAGCTGCTGGCCTCAAATGCAGTCGCCGTGGTAAGAAATGGTCCTGAGTCCCAGACCCAGAGCGCTGATGTAGATCTGCCTACTTAGCCCACTCGCTCTTCCCTGATCCGGCGCCTCATGACATTGGAAGTCATCCCACCACCTCAGGGTCAAATCTACATGTGTCCCCGACAGGGTATCCTAAGTGCCCAGGAGCAAACCAATGGCTGGGTTGGCCAAAACAGCTGTTGTGACTTTTGGTATTGAAATATCTAATGTTTTATAGAACAAGGTCACTGACTCCTGCTCTAGGGTGCTCTAAGCATGCAGGTTATATCAGGAGACAGACTGCTCTTCACAGAGACAGATGCTTGCCCAAGACATACTGATTCTCTCTGTCCTTTCCTTCTCTGGGAATCATGCAGACTGATGGCTCTCATCAGGGAAAAGTGGGTATTGAAGGGCCAAGAATGTAATTCAGTACATCAGCACATGCCTAGCATGTGCGTGGTCCCATGTTCTGTCCCCAACACCGCACACATGTGTGTGCGTGTACACACACATACACACATACACACACGCGCGCGCACATGCACCAGTAAATAATTCAGAAACCAGAGAGATTTATGCTCACAGAGAACTGATATCTGAGGTAGGCCTAGGAGCCACGCTATCCCTTCACCCAGCTTCAGACCACACGCCCATCACTTGCCTCATCATTGGAGATAAAGATGCTCCACTGTCCCCTGTGGCTGCTAGCGTCTAAATCCTGCAGCTCCCCACACATCTGTTCTAGATCTCACCTCCCAGGCTCATACCATGCGTCTGACTCAGATACTCCAGAGAAGGCTGGACCCCTAAACTGTATATATACATGTGTATATGTACATGAAGATGTGCCTGCAAATCACAGCCTCTTCTTTCTCAGCTAAAGAAACTAGCCAGTCTTTATTTTCCTACCAGAAGAATCTGCTTCTGTGAATTTAGACTCTGCCTCGGGTTCCTTCTTTCGCTGATGGGAAACTGAGGCTCAAAACTAACAAAGCCGGGGCTGAGAGAGAATTATCTCAGTGGTGGAACACTTGCCTAGCACAAGCCAGATCCTGCACTTGATCCACAATGTGCGTGTGCGTGCCTGTACATTTGCATGCATGGGCACGCACACACATGCATGTTTTAAGCCTGTTCAAGGTGGTACTAGGATTTGAATCCAGATCTGATTCATAAGTGTATCTCCGTCTACAGAGAATCCATAGTGCACACACTGGACTTTCAGCACCTGGCTTCCAATCTCGGCCCCTCCATTGCCCCTGTGTAGGATCACTAAGTGCCTCAATTTCTTCATTTGTAATGGAGGCTGAGAGTTAGTTCATTACTGTTATCACCGCCATACCCTGGCCCCTCAGCTATTAGCCCACAGCATGTGTTCCTGATGTGTAGCTGTCCCTGGCTCTCAGAGAGGATCAGCAGGGTAGATGGGAGACTCGGAAAGTGAGGAGCAAGCTGGGACAGGGATCTTACCTCTTTCTTGCCATTCACTTCCTGTTTTCTTTCCCAGACTTTTGGAGAGAAGCTTCTGGGGGTCATGGCCTGGATCATGCCCATCTCTGTTGCCCTGTCCACATTTGGAGGCGTCAATGGCTCACTCTTCACCTCCTCCCGGTTAGTGCTTGCCCAGAACATTTCTGGGCCACTTTTCTGTGTCCATTGTTCTGTGTGTATTTAATGGACTTTTCTGTCAGCAGGGTTCTGTGCTACCTCCTGAGTGGTGGCTTTGCAGGAGTACGCATGTCAGTGTGTGTGCTGAGGGGGTCTGCTGCTCACAGGTGACCTGTGTGGGGTCCAGGTGGCTGCCCACCTTGCTTTGGCAGCAGGACAGTATCTTGACTACGTTCCTAGAGTCCCTGTTCCCCCTTGTCTAGATGCAGGCTACCACTGTCCAGAAAGAAACCCTTCTTTAAAAGGGACCAAGCTTTGAAGCCTCTGGATCTGGCCTCCCATGAATGTCTGGAGTCAGACTCCACATGGGATGAGATCCTTCTGAGTGTTCTAAGGATGCAGGACTGCTCCCTACTCAAGAGGCCACAAGGCTGTGTAGGGAAGAGCAGAAAGGAAACTTTTTCAATGAAAGCCAATAGCTACAACCCCAACCCAAAATTCCTTGGGAAGCCAGAAACATGAGTGGACCCTGGAGCCTTGCCTCTGCCTATCCAGGGGCCAGGCCCTCCTTTATGTCCTTTTTTCCATCTCTAGAATGGACTTCTGGGGGTACAGATGTGAAAGGGTCACCATTAGTGTGGCCCATAGGGTCCTATGTCCTCGGAGCACAGTCCTAATTCCCAAGATAACTCTGGGCTCAGCTGTTTGTCAAGCCCCCTGTCACATCCCAGAGAAGTTCCTGTGAGATGACAGACTTCCAGGTTTTCAGGATCCAGAGTGTGGGTATCACCTGTGCCTGCGGAAGGCGCACACTCACCCCTAGCAACCTCGTGTGCATGTTACACAGGCGCCGTGGCCACCGGGAGGCCCTAGCAGAGGGCGAGCAGTGGAAGAGCAGTGACCCCTGAGGCTCCCTGGGATCTGTTGGAGGACAGTGGCTGGCTACAGTCTCTTTAGTTTGGGGTTCGTCCCTCAGGCAGGCCACACAGTGGTCTGCATGCATGCAGCATAGTTGTGTGTACATGCAGGAGATGCCAAAGATGTAGCCTCCCTTCCCAGGCCACCTCTGCTCACCTACTACTTTCCTTCTCTCCTTCTTCCCTCCCTCCTCTCTTTCATTCTTTTGTGTCTCAGTTTGACTTGGATAATCCTTGCTGAGCAAGCAGTGTGTGTGTGTGTGTGTGTGTGTGTGTGCGCGCGCGCGCGTGAACGCACCCACCATACTCTCCATCATTCCCTAGCTTATGAACCCAACATGGGGCTGGTAGACCTGGACAGTTGCTCCTGGCTGTATGTGGAGGAGGACACGAATGAGAGCTGGGGCACATGCATGATGTAACTCATAGCGCCCCCTAAGTTCAATCTAGTGCACGAGACTCTGCTGGCTGGAAAAGACTGTAGCATGGGAAAAGGGAAGGGCTGCATGTGTTTGCATGAAATTAGAGAAGCTGGCCTGAATAGTTCGTGGTGACAACTGCTTATGGGTGCTTGGAGTCGCAGTCAGCTCCCGTACTTCTGAGCTGCCACTGTTGGCACCACTCAACCCTGTATGCAAAGCACGGAATGGCAGTGGTCTGTACCAGGAGTGGTGGCACACACCTCTGACCTCAGCCCTCAGGAGGCTAAATCAAGAAGGCCAAGAGTCTGAGCCACATGTAGCCAAAGCCTGTGTACCAGCACACTGTCACCTTCCTGTCACCCATTGGGGGCCACTTGCCCTAGAGAAAAGTAAAAGTCGGAGACTCAGCAGGTCTCAGCCTGGGGACCTGAGTTTGACCCCGGGAGCCCAACTCACAGGGTGGAAGGGGAGAGCTGACTTTCACAAGCTGCCATTTGACCTCCACACGTATGCCGTAGAGAGCATGCACACAAACAAATAGGAAAATAACTGAGATCGAAACTTTTAAAGAGAACAGGTTGGAGTGCTGTCATGTGAAGGACTGGGGGCAGTTACAGGTGGGTTTTGGTGGCCGGTTGTCTTGTTTTGTTCTGTCTGGAAGAGGCATAAAGAGAGAGCGGGAAGGGCTGCTTTAATGTTGCTCTCTGTGAGTCTATGTCTCTGTCTCTCTGAGTCATATCCACTATTTCCTTCCCCTCCTAAGGGTATATAATCCCCCTCCCATTGTTTAGATTTTGTTCTTAAAATTACCTTTTAGGCCTGGAGAGATGGCTCAGTGGTTAAGAGCAATGGCTGCTCTTCCAGAGGACCCGAGTTCAATTCCCAGCACACACATGGTAGTCATAGCTGCCTGTAGTTCCCCAATGCACATAAGATAAAGTGAAATAAAAAAGAAAAAAATTACCTTTTAATGTATGTGACTTTTGCCTGACTGTATGACTGTGCACTGTGTGCATGCCTGGAACCCACAGAGTCAGAAGAGGGTGTCAGGTCCCCTGGAACTGGAATTGCCAAGTGGCTGTGAGCCACCATATGGGTGCTGGGAGTTTAACTCAGGTCCTCCGCAAGAACAACAAGTGCTCTTAACCAAAGAGCCAGCCCTCCAGCCCCGTCCCCATCTGTGAGACAGGGGCTCATATAAGGCTAGCCTCAAACTGGAAATCCCCCACTTCAGGCTTGGTGTGCCAGGTTCGCAGGCTTGTGCCACCCATGTGCAGCTCAGGATCGCAGTTTTGCATTCTGCATTTTTGCGTGACGTTCTCACATGATCATTCTCTTCTGAAACATGATTTCAAGGGCTGAAGAGATGGCCCGGATTCAACTCCTAGCACCCACACGGCGGCTCAACCATCTGTAACAATCTGACTGCGTCTTCTGGCCTCCACCGGCATGGCGCACAGACATACATTTCAGACAAACACCCATACACGTGAAATAAAATCTTAAAAAACTTGATTTTTTTTTACTTCATAATTTTCTATCTTACAGATAAATCTTAATTTTTTTTAGTCAGTCTCATAATTTCAAACACTCGGGTCATTGGCAGTCTGACTCAGTGCCAGAGCCTTTGTGTGTCCTTTTCAGTACCTCTCTGTTGTTTCTGTTTGTTTTTAAGAAGTCTTCTTGGGAATAGAATGCGTAGTTCTGAGAGTACAAACTTTGAGTGCACAAAGTTTAAGTGTGACCTCTAAGTTGACAGTTCCGGACACCGAAGAAGATACCTCAGGTCTTCCACCGGCTCTCACAGGCTCCCACCTGCCCTTTTCCAGTCCACCGCCCCTCTCCACTCTCACAGAAGCAGCTGCTCTCTGAATAGAATGAGGATGTTTTTAAAGCATTGCACGGGAAGCCCGGAGCTGTGTGCCGGGGAATCAATAGCCCTTAAGGGTGAGAAGGTTCTCATTTAAAGGAGAAATATGGCCAGATAAAGGGACAAACTTTAATTCCAACATTTAGAAAATGGAGGCAGGAGGGTCAGGGATGCCAGGCCTGTCTTGGCTACAGAGACGTTCCGGGCCACAAAGGCTGTATGAGAATGGGTCTCAAAGAGCTGAAACTAAAAAAAGCAGGCAGAGAAGCCATTCCTGGAGCCTTGAAACAGGGGAGTGACTCGGAGGGAGCCAGCCAGCTCACACGCTCAGTCTCCACATGCCCAGGCTCCGTCCACCTAGCTCTTGGCTGCCTCTAGTCTGCCTGTGCCTGCGTTTGGGAACATGGGCCCTGTGGCTAATGGTCCGGAAAGTGCGCACACAAAGGCAGGTCTCGGCTCGTGGAGGGTGCTAGCATGGGGGCGAAAGGTGGGCGTGAATGAGAGCCTCGGCTTAGTGGTCCACAGGCTATCCCAGGCTGACCTACTTTTCTCCTCGCCAGGCTGTTCTTTGCTGGAGCCAGAGAAGGCCACCTTCCCAGCGTGCTGGCCATGATCCATGTGAAGCGCTGCACCCCAATCCCAGCGCTGCTCTTCACAGTAAGGCCCCCTGCTGCTGCTGCAGATCCTTCCCACGCCTTGTGGCTAGCCTGGGTTGGGACTCACACCATCTGCACACACACACACACACACCTGTCCCCCTTCTGGTCTAGCTCTGCATTGCAGTAGGCCCCGGCTGAGATAGCACGTGTGGCCGTTGCAATGCTTTGTGAAGGTCGGGGAATATAATTAGAGAAGATCTTAAACACCCACAGCTCTCAGGCTGGCTCATTTTCCCTCTCCTCTCCTATGGAGTCAGACTGAAAAGACTTGGGATACCACAGTCTCCCAAAAACATGTCTCTGTCCCAGGCTTCACTGGCACCTGCTACCACAAGGGTACAGCGCTGAGCCTCAGCTTGATCTGGTCGTGCACACGCTCACCCTTCTCCCCTTCCACCACTTCCTGCCCAGGACCCTGTCAGCCTCTTGGAAGGGGCCATCGAAATAAACCTAGTTCAGGGCACACGTGATAAGAAAAGTCACAGACAGGGGAAAACTCTTGAATTGACGATGGGGGAAAGGCCACTTTGAATGGGGAAGAAATGGTGTAAAAAGAACAGAAGCATTTAGAGCAGCAACCTTCAGCCATGGGCGGCGACCTCCACGGGGTCGCTTATTAGATCTCCTGTAATCAGACATTTGCATTACAATCCATAACAGTAGCAAAACTACAGTTATGAAGTAGCAATGAAAATAATTTTATGGTTGAGGGGGGTCACCACCACCTGAGGAACTGTATTAAAGGGGGACAACGTTAGGAAGATTGCAAACCACTGCTCTAGGGAGTAAAGGAAGACCCAATAACTTGTCCTCATTACGTTTTTTGAATTTTCTTTTCCTTCTGAATCATGGATAAAACATTGCAAATTACTTTGAGCCAGACGTGGTGGCACATGCCTTTAATCCCAACACTCAGGAGGCAGAGGCAGGTAGATCTCTCTAAATTTGAGGCCAGTCTGGCTTACAGAGCAAGTTCTAAGACAACCAGGGCTACAGAGAAAGACCTTGTCTCAAAAAAGCCAGAGAGATGCTCCTGGCAATAAAGGTATAGGCCGTCCTAGGCTACTCAAGGTGGCTGTGAAGTCCCTATCTTGAGATGTCCACTATAAACTAGCCCGCCTGGCCTGGAGGGGCAGACCATCCCCTAACTTCTCACCTCATTCTCACTTCTCCAGTGCCTCTCCACACTGCTGATGCTGGTCACCAGTGACATGTACACACTCATCAACTACGTGGGCTTCATCAACTACCTCTTCTACGGGGTAACAGTTGCAGGGCAGATAGTCCTTCGCTGGAAGAAGCCCGACATCCCCCGCCCCATCAAGGTGAGAGGACCTGCTTCGGAGCCCCTCCCTTCCTCTGCTGCATCCAGGGCGGGGCAGATTTTTGAGTCATTGTGGCTCTTGGCCACGTGTGCATGAGACAGTTATTTCCTTACCTCACTCTTAAATCTTACACCCTGGGTGGGCCCGGCCCTCCAGTATCAGAGTTCGTTACATTATGTCTCTGTCCCAAAGTGAATCTCCTTCTGTCTGCTTGTATTCATTTTAACGGAGGGAGACCCATTCTAACTTGAGACCCATTTGGTGCATCCAGGTGAGGCCTGGCCTGGAAGTATATGTGAAGACAGGAGCCATAACAGACCCAGGTCGTTTCTTTGCTCCCCCTCCAGGACCTCTAGCAAGTGTACACTAACGTGCTTACCTGCTTCTCAGTCCCCTGGGCTTCTCTGACTGCCACAGGCACTTAAATGAGTCATGAGGTCTTATCTGACCTCACCTGGGAGGGGCCCTTACTTCCCTGCCCCACTGCCCGATTTCACCAGCATCTGTCTGTTGATAGAGCACCTATAAGAGCCCGAAGTGTGGGACACAGAGCTGAGTGAAGCTCAGCCATTGCCCTCAAGGAGGAGGATGAAGAAGAGAGAAGGTGCCCTCATCCTAAAGCCTCTGAGAGCCACATAACTCACAGTACTTCTGTCCCACAGATCAATCTGCTGTTTCCCATCATATATCTGCTGTTCTGGGCCTTCCTGCTGATCTTCAGCCTGTGGTCGGAGCCAGTGGTATGCGGTATTGGCCTGGCTATCATGCTGACGGGAGTACCTGTCTATTTTCTGGGTGTCTACTGGCAACAAAAACCAAAGTGTTTCAATGACTTCATTGGTAAGTAGTGGCTAGAAAGAGGGCCTCTTGGGTAGACACAGAGCAGACTAATGGGGGAGCCCTACCTTCAATTGAGTCCACAGGGCTCCTCATTCAGACCTCTAAGGAGAGAAGACCCGCTGGCATCCACAGACAGACCTGAGGCAGCCTGCCAGCTCCGTACAGGCACTGACCTGGTTTCTGTATTGTTCCTTTCCACAGAGTCACTAACCCTAGTGAGTCAGAAGATGTGTGTGGTCGTGTATCCCCAGGTGGATGGGGACTCGGGGGCAGGGGAAGCAACCGATGACATGGAGGAACAGCAGAAGCCCATCTTCCAGCCTACTCCTGTCAAGGACCAGGACTCAGAGGAACAGCCCTAGCCCTGAGGACTGTCGTCCCTTTAACTGACCACTCCCCACTTCATCCTCTCTGCCCTGCATCCCTGCCTATGTCCCCCTAACACACACACACACACACACACCTATACTGTCAGGCAGGGCCAAGTCCTGGGTGTCCACAGTGACACGTTCTAAACAAAGACACTGACCTTTGTACCCAAAGAACCCACTTCCAGTCCCAAGGCCCATGGTCAAGGTCAGTGCACCAGGGCCTGCAGGCACTCCAAGGATTAGAGGAGACTAGAGGTGCCGTGGGTACCCTGCAGGACTCTTCCTCCTGGGCCCATGCCCTTCTGGTGCCTCTAAGAAACCCGGGTTCACTGCTGCTGCTTCTCCCTAGTTCTGAGCCCAGGTGAAGCTTCAATTGGGAAGGAGGTGGCAGCACAGTGGGCTGCTGGGAAGGCAAAGCAAACACAAGTGTCACCACTCAACTTCTTCTGGAGAGACCAAAATGCCTCTTCACTCACCGGGGACCCTGTACCTACCACTCACTCCACTGCCCAGCTTAGGCCCCCTGCTGAGAAACTTCCCCACTGAGCTAAGGACCAAGAAGGAGGACCACCCTATCCCCAGCTCTAAGCCAAGCTTGTGAAATACATAGGGGTAGGCTCAGACTGCAGAAGCCAAGCCTTACCCCTGCCCCTGCCCCTGCCCCTGCCCCTGCTTCTGCATCCTGTCTCCTTGTGGTGCCAAAGCTCCCTGAAGCCAGAAAGGCTTCTTACGTTCAGTCGAATAGATATCTATCTCTCTCTTAAGGGCAAAGCGACTCAGCCACCCCCACTGGCCCCCCCTGAGCATCCCAGCCACTCTTCTCACCCACAGTACTGCCGGCCACCCTCGCGCTTTTTCTTCCCTGGACCTTGGCTCAAGGACCAGGCGGGAAGGATCCCCAAGCCCTTCAGGCCTGAGATTCAGAGTCAAACCAGCCTTAAGTCATCTCCCCTCCAAGAACTAAGCCTAAAAATGCTCCCTAGTTCTACCCTTCAGGACAGACTTGGTGTTAAATGCCTCCCCTGGAAGGAAGGGTGCTTCCCCCTCCCCAGAGATGCTCAGCCCTCACCCTGGGGAGACCCTGTTGCTGGGGGAGTGTTTTCTGAAGACTGGTTCCTCTCCCCTCCCCCAACTCAAATGATCTCACCACCATCCTGACATCCCTTTTGGGACAAGATGGAAGGGCAATGACAGAATGCCACTCCCTTTGAGAACTCAGAAAAGTCCCTTCCACGAGAGCTAGCGACCTATGCCCTATGGGAAGGTAACAGTGTTTGCCTTGTCCCGGCAGCCTCCATATCTGCTGTGCCAAGGACCCCATGCCCCATTCCATCTACTTAAACTGGAATACCCCAGGGCCTTTTCCTGGCCCGTCAGGTCCCCTGACTTCTCACCCAGCTCACCTGATCCCTAGTTGCTGAAAGGCTAGGTTTGGACTGATTATGGCCCTTCAGAGTGCAGTCCAGGCAGGCTGTGGGGCCTCTGGGGGACCAAGGACCATCCCTCCATCCATTTCTTCTCATTCCTTCAGCCTCTACCCACCCCCTCCTTGAATTACTATCTTTTTTTTTAAGTGGATGCCTTACTTTTTTGGATAAATATTTTTGAACTTGGCATTTCTATTTCTTTTAAATTTTTTAATGTATGGTGGTTTCGGGGGGCAGAGCTAGTCCCTTAATAATCTGTCACTGAGTTCATTTAGGTCTTACGTTTTCTTGGTTTGTTTTGTGGAGTGTTTTCAAGTAATAAAATTTTAAATGGAAATGAAACAACGATGTTAATCAAGTGACTGCTGGCCGGTGGTGGCGTGCTGCAGAGGCAAGCAGAGCTCTGAGGGTCGAGGCCAGCTTGGCTCGCAATAAATCGAGTTCCAGGACAGTCTGGGATATGTAGAGAAAACCTGTCTCAAAAAAGGGAAAAAAAATCAGATGACTTCTGAATCAGAGTCAGTGGACATTTTTACTTAATCCAGAACTCTTTGGTTGCCAGGTTCTTCTGGGACTTTGTTCCTAAAAGTCTCGGTTGCCACACCTTTGAGCTGCCCAGTAAACACGGAGCCTATAGCTTCTTCCAATAACTACCTCTTGTCCCTTCTGTGGCGTCCTGAAGGTCTGCGGAGCTCCCATTCCATGCACCGTGCTGAAATCCTGCAAACAGGAAGTAAAGCTCATCACTCCCCAACATCCAGACAGGCCAGGGACCAGCACCAGGCCAAGATGGGGGTGACACCCCAAAGCCTGGCAGTAAAGGCTCTGTGGCACTGTGGAAACAGCCCGCAGGGGGTCCAGGAGCCTGTGGAAGATGAGGCTTGTTCACCCAGCTAAGCAGAAGCTCCTGTGAGCTTAGTCACTGGAAGGAGGATAGAAGATTGGGCCAGGACTAGAAAAGGGGAGGAGTTAAGGTCAGCTTGTGTGCTTACTTGGGAATTTTTTTTTACATTTGTGTGTGTGTGTGTGTGTGTGTGTGTGTCACAGCACTTGGGTGGAGTAGTGCATCTTGCAGGAGTTCTTTCTTTGAACCATGTGCATCTAACTTGAGTTAAGATTGGCAGCTAGTGCCATTTTGCCAGCCCCTAGAGATTTTTTTTTTTTAGTTAGTTAAAAAAAAAAAAAAAACAAGCTGGGCAGTGGTGGTGCACACCTTTAATCCCAGCACTCAGAAGGCAGAGGCAGGTGGATCTCTGTGAGTTCGAGGCCAGCCTAGTCTACAAGAGCTAGTTCCAGGACAGCCACCAAAGCTACAGAGAAATCTTGTCTCAAAAAAACAACAAACAAACAAACAAAACCACATACACATTAGCTAGTCATAGTGACATTTGCCTCTAATCCCAGCACTCAAGAGGCAGAGGCTGGCTGATCTCTGTGAGTTCTAGGCTAGCCTGGTCTATATAGCAAGTTCCAGGACAGCTGGGGCCCTCCTGGTGCTTTGGAAAGTTGATGGGACTGGATCTGGTCCTTGCTTCTGCCCCTCTTCCTCTCTACAGTCCTCCCGCAGCCTCCCCTGGGGCACCATCATTCCAGAGCCAGCTGTGCTTACAGACCTGTGGGGAGGAGGAGCATGAACAGCAAGACACTAATTACCCTTCACCACCTGGGAAACTGAGGCACAGGCACGTCCACGCCAATTCTTAGCCTGGTATCAACACTCCTGCTTGTGGCTGTCCTTAACTCCAGACAGGCTAAAAGCTTGCCATCCTCGGAGGCACAAAGCCAGGATGGGGAGATGCTGGGCCAGTAGCTGGTCACAGAACAGCCGTGTGCCCTCGGTTACCCCACAAGCAGAGGACGGCAGTCCTCCAAAGGTCACCTACTAAACCTTTCTGAACCTCCATTTCCTTTCTCTGCCTCATCAAGTCTCCTCCATGTTGCCCCCATTCTGGTGTGGTCAGGCCTCCCCAGTTCCCTCTCATGTAATGGAGAGACGTGTCCCTGGGATTGCCTCTCCCCAAATAAAGTGACATCTGATGATCTTCACCGTGGTCAGACACAGGTGTGGGTCTCTTGAACGGCTCGCACGTCTTTCTAGCCTGAAGCCCTTTTTCTGTCTTAGCCCTGATGTTGCCTTCAGCGCTAGGAACTTCAGGTGTTTTGAGTTTAGACAATATTTCTTCTTTAGAAGACACTCTAGGAACCTTTCAGAAGTCACTAAGTCATAGTTGCTCAAGTGTTTTTGTTTGTTTGTGCATTTATTCCGTGTATTTGTGCGCTCACACAGGTCTCAAGGTCAGATGTCATTTCTCACTTTTCACTCCACCGTCCCTGGGACTTGAACGCCAGCCTACAGACTTGGTGGCAAGTGCTCTCCCCTCTCAGCCATGTCACTGGCCCACATTTGTTCATTACTGTACTTAAGCAACAGGTCTGTGGTTACGGTGTCCAAAGGCGTTACCATTTCTGTGGAAATAACAAGTCTATCCCTGAATTTTGCAAGCCATCACACAAATTCCAAATAATCCTTGTTTTCTGAAGAGTATTCAGATATGTAGTGGCATATGCCTTTAGCACGCGTTTAGTCCCAGCACTCAGGAAGCAGAGGCAGACAGATCTCTGAGTTCAAGGCCAGCCTGGTCTACATAGTGAGTTCTGGCCCAGCCAAGTGCTGCATAATGAAACCCTGGCTCAAAAAATAAAATAAAATAGTGTTCAGACATGTCAGTCTTCCAGTCCTTTTATCGTTTTGTTTTGTTTGGGTCTTTTTAGTTTGCTGTTGTTTGGGGTTTTTTTTGTTTTTTTTTTTTTTGGTTTTTTCGAGACAGGGTTTCTCTGTGGCTTTGGGGCCTGTCCTGGAACTAGCTCTGTAGACCAGGCTGGTCTCGAACTCACAGAGATCCACCTGTGTTTGGGGTTTTTAATGCATTTACTTTGTGTCTGTATGTTGCCTCTGTGTGTGTGTGTGTGTGTGTGTGTGTGTGTGTGTGTGTGCACTGTGTACATCCCTGGTGGTCACAGAATTCAGGAGAGGGCATTGAGTCCCCTGGAACTGAAGTTACAGATGATTGTAAGACACCATGGGTGGACTAGGAATCAAACCCAGGTCCTCTACAAGAACAACAATACTCTTAACCAAATCTCCAGCCTCTTTTTGTTTTTGAGACAGGGTCTCACTGCATAGCCATGGCCAACCTATAACTCTCTCTATAGACCAGTCTTCCTTCAAATACACAGAGATCCGCCTGCCTCTGCCTCCCAAGTTGTGGGAAGAAAGGTGTGTGCCACCACATGCAGCTAATTCATTTGTTTTTTGAGAAAGAGTCCCACTCTGTACTTAGACTCACCTCAAACTCATAGCAGTCCTCCTGCCTCAACCTTTCACGCCCTGAATATGATGTGATTACAAGTGTAATACATGCTTATCCTTAATTTTCATTCAGGAAATATGGTCGTTGTGTTTAGTAGTTTTATGTCAACTTGACACAAGCTAAAGTCACCGGAGTGGGGAACCTCAGTTTAAAAAAATGCCTACATAAAATGGAGCTTAAACAAGCCTATAGGGGGCCGGGCGGTGGTGGCGCATGCCTTTAATCCCAGCACTCGGGAGGCGGAGGCAGGCGGATCTCTGTGAGTTCGAGGCCAGCCTGGTCTACAAGAGCTAGTTCCAGGACAGGAACCAAAAGCTACGGAGAAACCCTGTCTCGAAAAATCCAAAAAAAAAAAAAAAAAACAAGCCTATAGGGTATCTTCTTAGCTAGTGATTGCTAGGTGGTACTGCGCCTGGGCTGGTGGTTCTAGGTTCTGTAAGAAAGCAGGCTGAGCAAGCCATCAGGAGTAAGCCAGTAAGCAGCACTCCTCCATGGTCTCTGAATCAGCTCCTGCCTCCATGTTCCTGCCCTGTTTGAGCTCCTGTCCCGACTTCTTTCAATGACAGACTAAGATACGTAAGTGTAGACCAAATAATTCCTTTCCTCTGGAGCTGCTTTTGTCGTGGTGTTTCATCACAGCAGTAGAAGCCCTAACGAATACAATCATTATCACAGAAAAGATTAAAAAGAAGTATCTCAGCCAATTCTCAAAGAGCAAAATGGGCTAGGGATGTAGCCCAATTGGTAAAATGCTTGTCAAGTATGAAGGAGGGAGGGAAGGAGGGAGGGAGAAAGGGAGGGAGAGAAGGAAGGAAGAAAGGAACGCATGGTGACATAGACATAAAATAAAAATAAATCTTACAGGGGTGGGGTGGGGGATGAAAACCTTTAATCCCAATACTTGAAAGGCAGAGGCAGGCAGATCTTCGAGTTCGAGGCCAGCCTGGTCTACAGAGGGAGTTCCAGCACAGCCAGTGCTCTGTTATTGGAAGAACAGAGAAACTCTCTTGGAAGACAAAACAAAGCAAGACAACAACAACGAAAAGTATACCAAGGAGAAGAAGCCAAGGATGAATATGCACTTCATGGACCATCTCTTTGTCCATCCACTGTGGATGAAGACCACCTCCCCATGGGGCTCCCAGTCTGGACTGGCAGGGTCTGGCAAAAGTATCTCCAGAGCCTGTACTCCCTGGGGCTTCTGTGCTCAAAATGCCAGTTTGAAAAAAATAAAAAGGTTGTCAAATCTGGGCAGTGGTGGTGGCGCTCACCTTTAATCCCAACACTTGGGAGGCAGAGGCAGACAGATCTCTATAAATATGAGGCCAGTCTGTTATATAGAGTGAGTTTCAGGACAGCCAGGGCTACACAGAGAAACCCTGTCTCCCCCCCCCAGAAGGAAAGAAGGTTGTCGAGATGATTATGAGCATGGTGGCACATGCTTACAATCCTACTTGGAAGAGAGAAGCAGAGGATCAATGAATTCAAAGTCATTTTCAGCTATATAGTGAATTTGGGGCTAGCCTAGGCTACATGAGAGCCTAGTTTTTAAGAAAAATAAAACAAGAGCAAGTGAGAAGACTCCAATGGTAAAGGCGCTCGGCGCCAAGTCCGACAACAGGAGTTTACTCCCTGAGACTCACGTGGCAGAAGGAGAGAACTGAGTCCCACAATTGTCCTCTGAATTAATGTGGGGCAGGAGAGATGCCACAGTGGCGAAAAGCACTTGCTCTTACACAGAATCTAGGTTCAGTTCGAGCACCCGCACGCTCAACCATCCCTAACTTCAGTTCCGAGGGATCAGAGCCCCTCTGCCGACCTTCATGGGCACTAGGCAAACACGTGGTGCACATACAAACATGCAGGCAAAACACCTACACCCATAAGATTAAATTGAAAAGAAAAATCAAAAAAGAAAAGGTAATTCCCACTCAACAAGAGAGAAGTCATTCCTGGTATT